TGGCAACCAAGTGTCGAACACAAAAAGACCATCCACACACTCTGAAGGTTTATTCTAGAAGAAGTGCTTTGTTGAGTCAGGTCATCATCAAATGACCAACCTGATTAAAAAAGAAGAGGACCTCACACTCACTGAGCTCCCCTTTGTGCCAGGCACTGTGCTGGGAGCTGTATGTACACACCTTATCTCTCCCCCTCGCTGCAACGCCGTGCAGGTCTTACCATCTTCATGTCCAGAAAAGGGAACTGACGCTCACAGAGGTTAAGCCAGTGTCCAGGGCTTCCCAGATTCTGCACACGAAGGCCTGTGTGCACTGGTCTGATGGTGCATGACTTTGGATTTCATGCTCTTAGCAACAGAAACAATTCTGGTTACTTGAAGCGTGGAAGGAATCGATTGGAAGAGATGATAGTTCCTAGAATTCGGAGAAAAACTGAAGAGCTAGAGTGAAGAAAGATAGGAACCAGGGAAAATTCTGGGCTCACTCAGCAGGGAGCCCTAGCTTAGGTCACTCATCCCTGGCACAGAAGAGGCAGGGCCCTGTGATTGACAGCCTCCACGAGGACTGTAGCCTTTGAGGGATGGGGGTGCAGTCACCAGGAGAAGAAAGAGTGGGCCTGGGCAAGCCGCAGCGGCAGTCACTACACAGTATTTCAGACCACCTTCAAGGAGCACCGCAGACTCGAGCCGCGAGTGTCAGTGTGTTTTATGGGGTGCCAGGCACTGTGCAGGGGCTGCGGATGGACGGAGCACTAAGGCAGCCTCTGTCTCTAGGAGCGGATGCTATTCCGCAGCTGCTTCATCAAGGCTACTCCCCGCAGCAGACACGGGGCATCTGTCACCAGCTGAGCGATGCCCTTGCACACGTCCTGGTCCACAGAGCCAGAGGGAGAAAAGACTGAGCTACGCCACCAGACTTGGACAGACAGACCAAGGTTGTTTCTGAACTGGAGATGCGGACTAGGTCATACTCAACCAACTTTCCATTTCCAGAGGCACTAAGCATTTAGCTGTGGGGAGCCAGTCAACGCTTGCTGGTTTGGAGGGATTTAGCTCCTTTCCTGAGGGGTTCCAGGTAGAAGGGTGGAAGTTTAGAGTCTGGGGTGCATCCTGGTGCCTCTTTGTGCCAGCTTCCTAAAGTGGAGGTGAGCGTGGGACTCTTTCAGCCCGACCTCGGGGAAGGATGAGATGAGACCATGTGCACGTGAAAGCATTTCAAAAAGTAAATGACATAATAAAAATGCTTTCTCATCTCTGCCTTTTAACACACACCCACAAAATGCTTGTGATCCAAATTACCTAGTGCAGACTCTTGTAAATGCTTGAATTCTGGAATGAGATTTTAGGCTCATCGGTGAATGAACTAAAGTTATACATTTTATCTAGTTGTCACAAAACATTGAGAATATTTGAGTTTGCACAAATTATTCTGCGATAAAACCCATCTTTTGACAAATGGAGGTGTCTAACTTCTTAATGTTATTGTTTTGTTTTATCATTTTTTTTCATTATAAAAGCATCTTAACTCCATTTACAAAAAACAACAACAACAACAACAAACAAACCTAGAAAATAGTCAAGTTGAAACAAATCACCCATACTTAGACTACCTTAACTGTTTGTATGTTGATGTTTTCTTTTCCCAAATTGGAAACATCTTTTTATAGTAATTATAGAGCACAAACAGTAGAACCATAGTTTTTCATTGATTTTTCAAAAAGTGTTCTTCATGTCTTGGCATAACCATCCATTTCTAACCAGTCAGACCTCTAAGTACTGAGAGAAAAGAAAACTCTCTAAAAGGAGGCCCCACAGCTGACCCGAGAGCAAAGTGAGGACCCTTGTTTCGGACGCTGCCCGGGAAACCAGCTCCGACCAGCTCCAACCAGCCCTGTCCCCGCTCCGTGTTTTGTTGGACTCATTACTGACAAGGGAGTGTAGCTCAAAGCTGCATTCATTTCTGTCTCCACTCTGTCTTTAGATCTTGTTGCTTAAAATACCAGCAAGCCTCCGGGGGAGGTTTGCCCCAGACTGTCCCAGTTTTAGCCTGAAAGTCCTGCATCCTGGGAAACTCCTCAGCCCAGGACAAACCGGGACAGCTGGTCACCCTACAAGGAGGAAATGAAGCGTGTGTGTGTGTGTGTGTGTGTGTGTGTGTGTGTGTGCGTGTGCATGTGCAGATCCTACAGAACTGGCCAACCCACAGGGGCTCATGCCTTGTCCTCGAACTTCTCCGACTGTCAGGACGTGGGTCGCCCACATGTGCCAGTGGGACCACCCACCCGTGCCCTCCACCCACCTGGCTTCTGTCGCTGCAGCCTGGTTTATCTCGCCCGCCCACCCAGCCCCAGAGGCAACTGGGATATTCCTGTGGGGTCTGACGCGGGGAAGTGTGGCATTTCGATAAAAATAAAAGCTCAGGAATTCTTATAGTTAAGGTTGGCAGCCTTAAATGCCAGCCCTGAAATCACTTCACTTGATCATTAATCTGATTTCTCTTTTGGTTGCATTTGACTTCCGTGCCCTCTAGAAGTTAAAAATGTTTTCCTTGCTTTGCAAGGGACGGATTTCCATTTGTCCCCCGAGGTGGCCTGCCACACGTCACACACACACAATGATACAGGTCAGGCCTTCACTGCTGCGTTCCAGGGGGTTAGTGCTCTGGGTTAGGGTGAGTCTGGAGGAACCAGGGACACAGCTCAGGGATGGGGTTCGTTTCAATTCAGTTCAACAAACATGCACTCCAAGCTGTACATCGAAGCCTGTTTTTACCGTAATCTGTGGGTTTTCATCCCTCAACGATGACATTGATTGAATGAAATCCCTCACATCGATTTCAAAATATATTGATCATAGTATGTGGCTATGAGAGACACTCAGGCAGATGCAAGCTTCATTTAGTGGCCACGGAGAGGAAAACACCCAGAGACACATCTGCATCTCCCAGTTAATCAGCGTCTGTTCATTGAGGTCGGGCAGGGGAAGGACTTTATAGTTGATTATCTTTGTTAATCAGCTATAATCAGGTCTTCCTAGAATGGTGAAGCATTTAAGCCTTGTTTGCTGGTACAGATCATATATAATTGTTTCCATACTGTTGGCAAAACAGCTGTAGCCGTTTTGCATGGGCCATAAGTACTCGAGGTCTTTGAGGCAATGTCTTTGTATAAACAATGCAAATTTTTATTGCTATCGGGGAGTCGAGCTCTTTAAAGATGTTTAAATTGACCAGGATTTTCCCTTTCGGGTCTCCGCTGAGCAGAGTGGAGGTGGTGACGGCCACTGCAGGACTTGAAAGCCCCGCGTGCGTGCAGCCGAGGCCCAGGGTCCTTTCATCTCGGGCCGAATCCCGGCCCATGCTGCTTGAGGATTTGGGGTGTGTAAAAGTCCTGGGCTTTTTAATTATGTGTAAGCCTTTTAAGACGCCTACACCAGGAGGGCAGAGATGGAAACATATGCAGGGAAACATTTTATATCCAGTTTGGGGATTGAACCAAAGGTCCTCACTTGAGCCAAACCAGAGCTTCCAAAGAGATCAAAGGTAGCGCGGGGTTGAGGAAAACCTCCTTGCTGGGGAGGAGCGACATTACTTTACGAGAATTAATACCTTCTTAGTTGCATCAAAATAGCTTAAGAAGAGTAGAAAACAAAGAAGAAAATTACTGAAATTTCCACCATCTAAACTAATTGACTGTATTCATTTTTTTTTAAAAGTTTTAGCTCATATATGTGAATACGTATACCTATTGTATTTACTCATAATTGTGATATCTACTTGACTTTGGCTTTCATACGTCACATTTACGTGATAAGCATTTTCCACGTTGCTTCGTGGTTTAGTCAAACACTTGAAGTGGTTTTGCACCATCCCATAGAATGTCCATACCACGGTTTGCTTTAACCACTTCCTAATTATAAAACTTTTAGATTATGCCCAAGCCTTCCATTATAATAAGACTAATGACTATAGTTACATTCTTTATTTATTTATTTTTTCATTTTGGGGGGCTTATTTTCATGAACTACATTTCAAAAATTGGGATTACTGGGACAATAAGCCTCAACAGTTACAGTCTTTGTGTTATAAACGCACCGCTGCTGTTTGAGGGGCGAGTGCCTGGGACGTGGCCCCAGGAGTCCCGCACGTCATCAGTGTCACACGTCATCAGTCCCGCACGTCATCAGTGTCACACGTCATCAGCATTGGGGATTCCCTGAATTCCTTTTCAAGCAAATGGAGAATTGTTTGGGAAGAAAAGATAAGAGTTGCCTCAGAGTTGATTCAATTATAATATCCATCAAATTGGAAAACAAAAATTGAATTCTGGGAAGGAAGGACATTTCTCACTGCTGACAAATGGCTCCCTCATTTAAGAAAAGCAGGTCTTGGAAGTTGCATGGCAGACACAGTTGCCTCCACCAAGTGACACCTCTGAGGCTCCTGGCTCTGAATGTCTGCCTCAAAAAACTGTAGTTGTCACAGTCAAATCAATGTGGGCGGAGGAGCAATATGAGTTACCAACCCTCCCACCCCAGAAGGCCCAGCCTGCCCGCTGCTTCCGTGCCTGAAGGCCAAGTGAAGGGATGCAGGCTTCCTGGACGCCCTGGGGTGCAGTGGTCCTCAGTTCCATTAGTGTTGTCACTGCTGACCTCTTTAACTCGGCCGGACACCCGAGTATGTAATACCACCAACTAATACAGCACAAACACTTTTGCAACCAAGATGGGCCTTTACGTAGATTCCTATGAAGAATCAAACTTTTGGGAGAATGCAAATGTTGAGACTGGCTTGAGTTTAATTTCAGGTGGTTGGTGTGTGGGGCCAACTGGAAGAAGATGACCCCACTGAGCTGCAGGACTGTCCTCTGAGCCCGGCATCAGAGGAGCTCATGGTCCCTTTCCGCTCGTGCGTGTGCACAGATGTGCACGCTTTCCGTACCGAGATATCATCACTGGCTCCGTGCACTGAACCCTGCATTTCTCCCCGGCTGATTCCTTAGGTGCTCATCTACAATGGCCAGCTGGACATCATCGTGGCAGCGCCCCTGACAGAGCAGTCCTTGATGGCCATGGATTGGAAAGGATCCCGGGAATACAAGAAGGCCAAAAAAAAAATTTGGAAGATCTTCGAATCTGATGCTGAAGTGGCTGGTTATGTGCGGCAAGTGGGTGACTTCCATCAGGTAGGGAAACGCTTGGGGGCCTGGGAGCTGGGGGAAAGGGATCGTGGATTGGTGACAAAGCCTGGACACCAGCGAGGCACGGTGGCCTCGAGCAGGGGCCACACCAGCCAAGACGTGTCTGCTGCTGTCCTGCTTTCCACAGAGCAGAGTGGTCTGCGTTTGTATCGAAGATGCAGGAAGGGGCCGCGAGCCAAGGAATGTGTGGAGCCTCGAGGAGCTGGCAAAGGCGAGGATACAGATGCCCCCTTGCAGCCCCAGGAGGAACAGAGCCCTGCCAACACCCTGGGCTCAGCCCGGGGAGACCAGTTCAGATTTCTGGCTTCCAGAATTACATATCAAATGAGAAGTTTCTGTTGTTGTTTTTAAGGGCTAAATTGGTGATAATTTGTTATGGCAACGAAAGGAAACAGATGCCCTCCTCACGCCCTGATGGGTACTGAGGACTTTCTTTTTTTTATTTTTTATCCTCACCCGAGGATATTTTTCCATTTTTTTGGTACAGATAGAGTGGAAGGGAGAGAGAGGAAGGAGAGAGAGAGAGAAACATCGATGTGAAGGGACACATTGAGTGGCTGCCACCCGCACGACCAACCAGGGCCGGGGACAAACTGCAACCAAAGCACGTGCCCTTAGCGGGAACTGAACCCGGGTCTCTCCGGACCGCAGGCCGACGCTCTAACCGCTGAGCCAAACTGGCCAGGGCGGTACTGAGGACTTTCTGATGGACTGTCCAGCCTCTCCAGGAGTCCTTAGCAGGAGGACGGAGAGCACAGACTTCTCTGCCAGGACAGAGGTGGCTCTGCTGCTCCGGTTTTTATAACATTGTATCATGCATATTTTCAAAGTTACATATACATCCTTATTTATCTTGAAGTAATATTCATTGAATTGATATAATTAATTTTATTAATTCTCCTCTTGTCGCGATATGCCGTGTGTTTCAGCAGTTCTAATCTACGTCAACTAGTCAAACAAATCAGTTACAAGTTGTACTGGGACATTTTGCGTGCAAAATGACAAAAGAGAACAGGAAACAGCAGGGAAAGATCGGCGTCGTAGCGGTGGGCTCCTCGCCCTATATGTGCGTTCAGTAATGACAGCCTTCGCTTCTTGAGCACTAAGCACGGCCCGACATTCTGATCCCTACGTCCTCGATCTTATCTGCACATTACATGATATCATTTCCACTTAGCATATGAGGAAACACTCTGAGAAGGTAGAGAACCAATCCCGTATCATCCAATGATAGATTGAGATACACTGTATTCAGTTTGCTCCCAGAGCCGGTTTGCCTGTGTCTGTCATACTGCCTCTCTATTCAATTCCCAGTAAGGTGGGGAATGTCCACTCAATAGACAGAAACTCAGGAAAATACGTGTTTGTTTAATTATTTTCATGTAAGATATCTGTTTGGTGTTTCTTAGGTGCACTATAGAAGAGACATGTAGCAATACTCCTGAGTGTATTAGAACACAGTGATGCTTTGCTAGAATTAAAGAGATACTAGTTTAACAATAAACTATCCATATTCTCTTATTTCTCACTGCATCCTGCCATTCTGTCTGCTACAAGACCAGCAGGATGAATATGATAAAGTCCCTTCTACCAAGGAGCTTTTACTCAAAGGAGGGAAGACATAAAGGCAGGAAATAAGTAAATATACACATTACTAAATAAGAGAATGTCAGAAAATCGAACGGAATGAGGTGAAGGGCCTCAGTGGTAGATGGTGCAGGGACTGCCCTGGACGTGGACCCAAGAAGCCCCTCTGAAGAGGGGAGACATAGGGCACGAAGAGGCTGCCACGTGCAGAATGGGTAAGAGTTTCTGTGCAGAGAACGTCTACGTGTACCAGGAGCAGAAACAAGCTGGATGTATCTGAGGAAAGGAAGGAGGACCAGTGGGCTGGGCTGTGGTGAGGACAGAGGAGATAACGCTGCAGAATTGCCTGTGGCCACATCATGTGGGACCTTGTGGGTCAGGGTGGAATTGGGATCCAGAGAGCTCATCACCTCCCATAAATCATTCATATATATATATATGTTATCCTCTTTGGTATCATGACAAAAACCCTTCCACACAAAAACCCTTGAGTGGGATCTTTGGCCAGCCAAGGACAAATTTGCTTTGTTGTCAACATCTTTCTGTTGGGGAGAAGTTTTTACTTCGACCACTGGCTGGTTTAGAAATAATGATTTGAACTGTGTAGAGTATTTGGTTACATGTGCATGTGTGTTTTTGTATGTGTGTGTATTTATATACATGCATGTACCTGTACATATGCAGAAACATTACAAGGCAGTGGTTAGAGACATGAGTGTCTGAGTCAAGAAGACCACGATTGCCTTCTGCATCTTCGACCTAATAACAATGTGACCTTGGGCAAGTTTCTTACCTCTCTGTGGCCCAGTTTCATCTCCGAACAGATAGTAACAGTGCCTACCTGCTCTGAACTGAATGGTGTTTCCACAAATTTCTGTGTCGAAGCCCTAACCTATGATGTGACGGTCTTTGGAGATAGGACAGATAAGGAGGTAATTAGTTTAAATGAGGTCACACAGGCAGGGCTCTGATTCTACGGGATTAGTGCGCTTATAAGAAGAGACACCAGGCGCTGGCTCTCTCTCTCTCTCTCTCCCCCTCTCCCTCTCCCTCTCTCTCCCTCTCTCTCCCCCCCTCCTCTCTCCCTCTCCCCCCCTCCCCCCCTCTCTCTCTCCGCCATGGGAGGGCATCACAAGAAGGCAGCCGTGTGAGAGCCCAGAGAAGCTCCCACCGGAAACCAAACTGGCCAGCACCTGGATCTTGGATTTCTCAGCTCCAGACCTGTAAGCAACGCATCTCTGTTATTTAAGAACAATAGTCTAAGGCATCCTCATAGGATTGTTGAGAGGATTCAGTAAGCTAGTAAGCGTAGAGCAGTACCCGGCTCAGTAAATATTTGCTAGTATTATTGTTATTATTATTACTCTGGATCACTTGTAAGAATGTACATAACAAAAGGAAAATTATAAATGGTCAAAGTCAAGATCAGGGCAAATGTTTGATTGGAAATCAACTCTTAGGGCCAGTAAGGGCAGGCTCAAGTGTTGAGCAGCCAGGGAGCAATGGACCTGTCCCTTGTCCCCCGCCTGCTGCACTGCTTTATGAAGAGGAGGGCTTTGGGCACACTCGGCATGTCCTCCAGACCAGAGCTACCTCCGTTGCCTGTTACTTGTGTCCCCAGCCCTGCCTGGGAGCGCCGTGGTGCTTGGCATCGCGCGCGTGTCCTGTCCGGCCCTGCGCACGGAGTGTCAGCTTGGGAGACCAGACTGTGGCTGCATGCGCCACAGAGGTGGGAAAAGGGATTGGCAGCCACTCAGAAACTGTGACAAATATCACACGAAGCCCGCTGACCCTCCTCGGGCTGCCAAAAGACGGGGAACAAAAGGAACGAGGCCCACATCTGTTTGTGACAGCGAGGGTTTCACCGCCGGCGAACCATGTGCATTGTATGTAGGTGCTTTTACAATGTTGGCGGAGCTCCTGCCCCGGTGCTCAGCGGAGGATGGGGCTGGCGGGTGCGGACCAGGGCGGAATGGAGGAGGGGAAAGGGCCCCGGTGTTCACAAAGGCATTCTCTGTGAGGCTTGGGCTGAGGACACTGACCAAGTGTCTAGCGTCTGATAATGCAAACAACGGACCTGAGCCATGGGCTGGCTTTTCAGCACAAGGCACACAACACAGAAGCATGTGTGTGTGTCTGCCAAAAGGGAAGCTCCCTTCCTGCCAAACTCCACAGCTCTTCATTGAAAATCGAGACCAAAGTAGACCTGTCTTTGGGTGGTTACTTAAAATGTCCACTTAAAGAAATGGCAGCTCTCCCCCAGGAGCAACAGGGCACTGGAGAGAGGGAGCAAGTGTCCCCTGTAGCCCCACTAAGCGATGCCCGGGAAAACCGAAGGCAGCGGCGCCAGCCTTGGAGATCGGGTGAAGGGTGGGTGTCGCTTGTTGCCCCTTGCGGGGCCTGGCCTAGAGGTAGCGAGCCTTTGGCGTCTTACCGTTGTGAGGATTGGACACCGTCTTTTTGTGTCACCTGAGGCGGTGGCCTTTTCTCAGCCTCAGTTTGTTCATCTGGAAAATGCCAGGTTTGGACTGAGTTATCTCTAAAATATCTTCTAAGAAATAACCGAAATATCTACTTTTCACTAAGGACCAGAGGGCTCGAGTAACAAGAAGTATAAATTGTATAGTGATTTGAATCTGGTGTGTGTGTGTGTGTGTGTGTGTGTGTGTACGCGCGCATATGTGTGTATGTGCATATATGTGTGTATATGTATATAAGTGTAGTGTATATATTGTATATATATATAAGTGTATATGTGTGCATATATGTGTATGTATGTGTGTATATTTTTCTCCTTGGCTGGTGACAATCCATGGCCATCACTGTCAAGTCCACCTTGCTACTCCTTTTGGGGTCTTTCTCTGTCCTTCACCAAATGTCAGAGCTGCTGTCATGATTTCTTTGGATGTCGAAATGCGGGACATTTTGTTCTTACACCACTGAGTCATCATTTCAACCCCAAGGAAATTTTGACTCCACAGTAAGAAGTACAAAATTGTAACCGGAGTGCTAGCAACAATGATGAATTTCTTTTTTTTTTTTTTTTATCCTCACCCGAGGACGTTTTTCCATTTTTTGTTCAGATAGAGCGGGAGGGAGAGAGAGGAAGAGAGAGAGAGAGAGAAACATCGATGTGAAGGGACACATCGAGTGGCTGCCACCCGCACGACCAACCAGGGCCGGGGACAAACTGCAACTGAGGTACGTGCCCTTAGAGGGAACCGAACCCGGGTCTCTCTGTACCGCAGGCCGACGCTCCAACCGCTGAGCCAAACCGGCCAGGACAATGATGAATTTCTTTAAGAACATTTTTCTAGAACAAATTTTATTAAGCTGAATTTTTCCGACAAAAAGCATTGAACCCATTTCAAATTTCTCTACCTTTATTTCACAGAAAA